TTTCTTCATGGCACTATTGAAGGTATAATCCCCCTTACTACATAACTCAGGGGCACTCAGCTGTTACCATCTGAGTTTTTGGACATTTATGAAGTTTTATCACTGGTTGTTCAAAAAATTTCACTCATCCCCAAGAATTTCTGGGGATAAACTGTCGAATTTCATACAAAATTCATTCCACCACCAATTCAACATCAACACTACAAAGCTACCTTCCTAGCCCCCATGAAACAAGCGTTTCATTCTCTCTTATTTTGGAGCTTACGTTCCAATTGGATTGGTATATTGTCAAGCCAGCAGTCTATACTTTGCTGCTTTTCAGTTCGCACATAGGCTTTTGGTTTCGGCATGGAGCAAATTAATTAAAATATTATCAAATTGCTATGAACTCACTATGTGTGACTTTGAGGATTTTGTTTATTGACACATATCCCAGTAATAGTTGGATATGAGGGCAGAGACTTACATACAAAAGCTGGTTTAAGGTCAGGTCAAATGTTGGATATTGAAGGCAGAGACTTATATACAAAGCTGGTTAAATAAAGTCAGGTCAAATGTAAATCATGATGTAAATTCATTATACTTAGCACACTTACACACTTAAACAGGATAAAACAGTTTACATAACAGACAATCAAATATAGCACACTATGACAACACAGATAAAAGTACTAAAGGATAGAATCAGCAAATAAAAATGGAAAATGACGATTAAACATATATCAGAGAATTGTGTATAAACGTCATATTAGTCAATATATCTGAAAGTTTAATCATGTGAATGTTTTTACATCACAATTTAATTGTTTAAATTTATTTCACAGATAGCTCGCAAATCAAACATTCTTTTAGACCAGTGCCTGCCTGAATATATTTTGCGGGTAACAATTACTGCAGGTAACAATAAAAAAATAAGTTTGTTGATGAATTAAAATCTTGCATATAAATTATAAACTGTTGACACAGAGATATGTCTGGCCTGTATCTTATTTTGGTAGCAAAATCCAAATGTTGAAATCATTAAAATGGCTATACTTTCAGAAGTAAATTGTGTAAAAAATTTAGTCAATGAACCATGACTGAAGGTACAGGGCAAAATAGTTTTGTGGAAAAAAGATAAGCTGATGCTAATACAACTGCATACCAAATATCATTGACTTATCATCAGTTGATCCCCTTAAAATGACATAATCAAATACTTTAACGTGTTAACTATGCAAAAGTTTCAAAGTCAACTGACTATGACTGAGGGGAAATGACAAATAGTATCCGTAGAAATGAGATGTGCCAATGCTAATTTAACTTATCAAAAGTGGTTCCATTTAAACTGACCTAATCACAAACTTTAACAAATTGTTGATGGTGTTACTGCTGAAGGAAAACAGCAAACCTGAGTTTGGCTTTTTGACTCGGTCAAGGCTAGACCATACACTCAACATATTTATTAACAGTCACGCAATGGTTGGTTAAACACTGTTCAGAGGTTTCAGATGAGATTTTTTTATGATGATGTTGATTAATTAGTGATTGCAGTATCTCACTTTGATCTTTTGGTCCAGGTGCTAAAAAGTACATAAAATTATTTGGGTACAAGGGCCTATTTCCACTTCAAATCCTTTAGCTTAAACAAAACCACACTTTATCTTTTATTTAGGATAATGTGATAACATTACTAAAATCAGTGCATAACCTTCAACCACAACACCCCCCAAGGGTGACTGGGGAATAGAAATATGGTCACCATTGGTCTTCCTCCGACCGGCGGTAAAACCCTCGCTAAAGTGGGGCGTCCGTTTGGCTGTGCGGGATGTACAAATTCGCAGTCACGTCCGGTCAGAATGGGGACGTTAAATCCGATGCCTCGTGTAAAGAGATTGCCACGCTCTTTGCACGTTAAGAACCCTTGCAACAACTCTTTGAGGGGTCCGTAGGTGACCTGTTGCAAGGCTAAATTTCTGTCCCTATCCAATATACCCTCATTTCCTGCGGCAGTCTAAATTTCTCCGACCTTAATCCCGGAAGCCCCTATTACAGAACCTACCTATTGTATTTATTGTTAATTTGTTCTCGTCCTGAATATGCATGAAATATTTGCCACTGGACGTTAAGCAACCAACAATCAATCAATCAATCAACCACAACAAAAATAAAGGCTGTTAAAGCCTATATAGCCACACTAATGTATGGCCATTGTCAACAATAACCACTCTTAAAACCTATCAACCCTATTCAATCTCTTTATATTGAGAAACCCTTAGCCAGTCTTTCATTTCAAAAAGTTGTTTATTTCTCTTTTTTTTTCTATTTTGGGGTAATGGCAACAGCCCTATGTTTTGCAGATGGGATGATCAACCATTATCCTTAAATAGGAATTTAATTAAAATTTGGTAGCGACTGGTCTTTCACATGATTTTTCATTATCTTCATTCAATAATTTTCCATTTCCTTTTAGTAACAATGGCAGCCATGTTTGAAGGCAGAAGAGGTCATTTGCCAGAACTCTGAAATGGATCTTCTTCTTCTTCTTAGATATAGTAGTTACACTCATTGATGAGTATTCAATACTTTGTGTGTGCGTAGGTACTGGTAATGGCTATTTACAATGAATAAATACAAAAGTCAAAAATACGGTGCATGCTGTACAGGTGGTGCAGGATAAAAAACATTCCATCATCTACGCAATCGGTGTCTTGAAAGCTTCCATTGTGGGAGCTTTCCATGTTGAGTTGATAGTTTTTTCCAGGCTATTACCCGGTATTGTTCTTGAAACGAATGAGTACTTGAAATAGTTGTGTCTTGGGCTGAAGATGGTGTTACCATGGAATTGTAGTGTCTTGGTGGTCTGTTTAGTGGGATCAGGTAGTTTTCTGTTGGAATTGCTACAAGTCCATTTATAATTTTGTATAGTAAGCATAATCTGATGTTAACTCTTCGTTGGTATAGAGGTATCCAGTTAAGCCTGTTTATCATGCTGGTGACACTTCGTTCATTGCTGTAATCATTGTAGACGTATCGAGCTGCTCTTCTCTGTACTTGCTCTATTTTGTCAAAATTATCCTGCATGTAGGGATCCCATATTGCTGCACTATATTCCTTTCGGTCTTACTAGTGCATTAACAGCATTGATCTTTGTTTGCTGTGGAGCTTTTTTCATGTTTCTACTGAGCATCCCTTGGGCTTGGTTTGCACTTGCTACAGTGTTGTTAATGTGTAGGTTCCAGGTTAGGTCATCTTCGATGGTAATTCTTCAGTATTTTTTGTCCGTTACTACCTCTATTTGTTTACCATGCATGTAATACGGTTCTTTATTCGGGTGTTTGGATCGTGTTAGGTGCATAACATTACATTTGCTGACGTTAAATTCAATTTTTCCATTTCTGTATTAATCAATTTTATGTTAACAGTCCTAAAGATTAAGTTTGACTACAAGTTTCACATAAACTTAACATAATGTCAATGAAAATGAGGTCAAGATCAGATAAACCAAACCAGACGAACAGACAGGAACACCCTACAATCATTCCATACACCAAATATAGTTATTTGCCGATTAACCTATTGCTTATAGAATACAAGAAACAGAACAAACCATGGAAACTTAATATTGACCAATGAACCATGAAAATAAGGTCAAGGTCAGATAAATACTGTCCGACAGACATATACACCTTACAATCATTCCATACACCAAATGTAGTTGACCTATTGGTCCGGGGACACAGTTATCGTCCTTTGATTTTCGTTGTCTACGAATAAGAGTCCCTAGTGTAGACAGTGTATAACTTGCAAATTTTTTTCATACACCTTCCAAATTTATTTCTTTAAATTTTATGCGTAAAATAGTAAGTAGGGGAATGAAATTACATGTCAACAAAATTTGAGGCATGAAGTTTAGGTAAAGTAGTGATTTGGTCTAGTTTGAATAGGTCAAAAATTAGTATGTCTGAAGCTGTCAAACTGAATTACAGACTCCCTTAACATAAAATTATCCATATTTTGAGTTAGAGCCAATAGACTTTTCTATAATTTTGATATAATTTGTCCCAAAAGTAGTACACTACACTGTAAAAATCTTTTTTGGATAGAGCAGGTGCGATTTTTTTAATTTGCGTTTTTTGTCTAAAAGAAATGCACTACGAAATAACAGTGTTCTCGGGCCTATTGCTTATAGTATAAGCAAAACAGATCAGAACACAAAAACTCAACATTGACTAATGAACCATAAATATGAGGTCACTGTCAGATGAAACCTGCCAGACTGGCATGTACACCTTACAATCATTATATACATTACATATAGTTGACATATTTCTTAAAGTATTAGAAACAAGAAACAGAGACAAAAACACAAAAACTTAACATTGCCCAATGAACACTGAAAATGAGATCAAGGTCAGATGAAATCTGACAGTCAGACATGTACATATTACAAACATTACACACACCAAATATAGTTGACCTATTGCTTATAGTCCTTGATAAAAAGGCCCAAAACACAAAATTTTAAAATTGACCAATGAACCATGAAAATAAGGTCAAGGTCAGATGAAACCTGCCAGACTGACATGTACCCCTTATAATAATTCCATATACCACCTAATAGTTGACCTACTCTTACAGTATCTGAGAAACCGACCTAATCATGTAACTTTAACCTTGATCACTGATCCATGAAATGAGGTCGAGGTCAGGTGAACCCTGTCTGATGGACATGTAGATGTTGCCGTATACCAAATATAGTTATCCTATTACTCATAATAAGTAAGAAATTCACATTACAAAAAATCTATAATTTTTTTTCAAGCAGTCACTGAACCATGAAGATGAGGTCAAGGAAAATGGACATATGACAGACAGAAACATAAGGTATCTTCATACATGGTCTTCTACCTTCTGAAAAATAAAGCTTTATAGAAATAGTTTTCGCTGTGTCCGCCAGATAGTAATCCCTATGTCTCGCATACTGCGACCATTATCGCAATCGAGACAAAAACTATACATTGAATGATAGATTTATTTGATAAGATTTAGTATCTCATGGTAGACATCAATATACATAAACACTGACTCGGCAGCAGTCAAAATAAATATGGTCCAATACTAACTAAAATATAGCCAATATCACAATAATGTCACTTTTATTACTCTGTTTTCTTTACAAAACAGTTTGTTGTCAATGTGATGTTAATTGTATTAAGCAATATAATAAAGAATGGAATGACACTATAAATCAGGCCTAAATTAACCATGCATAATACTTGTGTTTTAACAACTGAATTATAAAGGATTTGTTTTCATGCATGTAGGTTTAGTTATACAAACAACATATACATAAATATAAGATACCACACAATATTTGTTTTAATCATGTAAAAAATTGGTGTTATTCAAATAAGCCTAAACACTGTTATCACAACATGCCCCTCCATCAACATGTATTTGTTTTAATACTGTATTAAAGTACTTTGTGGAAATGTCTATATAATTAGGCACTACTTTGAAAAATAAAAGTTGATTGAACATAAGTAAAATAACACTGGTTTTTGTATTAGAACTAAATATAAAAATAAAGTGTGAGAAAATTCAAGATATAAGAAAATTTCAAAGGCTAAGGTTACAATTCCTTTAAAAATCAATCAGCCAGTACCAAAGTAAATCTCAATTAATAAGTTTTAAAAAAGAACCATAACTATCAGAAAAGTTCTAGGGCTATAAATCCATTTAAATAAGTAGAACATAGTATGAGATCTAAGCTTGCTACTTGGCTGTAAAGAACACATGTTTATATAGGTCATATACCTCCTAAACATAGATATCACTCGTGGTTTCATGTGAAAATAGTATCTGACATGCATACAGGGTGTGACCTTTTTTTTAAATAAAGAAAAACCGGTAACATTCTATATAAATTATTGATTTAACAAAGGGATAAAAATGTGATAGTATTACATGTATATGTTAAAGAAATGCATTATGGGATAGAATCAATTCCTGAAAAATACTATTTTCAGGCTTACTCTGGACACATTAATCAAACTTGGTTGATAGACAGTTTATTTTGAATACCATCATTTATTGTCTATATAATGAACAAATGTACAATGCTGATGTGCACTGAAAGTTAATCAAGTGAACTGTCCTTCCCTACTGCTCCAGAGCAGAGACTGAGTTAATATCCCAGGTGAATACAGAACAAATCTCGGAAAACAATTATATTTAAAAAAAATTCCCCATTAGTTTGAAAAAAGTGTGGAAAGCTATGAAAACTTAAAAGTAAACGGACCAAAAGCCAAAATCAATAATCTACCCAGAAAAAAACCCAGTGTAGAATATTCACCTTGGGGTGAGGGTTGCTCTTTATTCCTAATTCTGTATATTTGTGACATATGATCCTTCTAATATAACTTAACACTAAAACTTACTTTAATATCTTTAACCATATCCTAAATAAATGAAGAATTTGTCCAGGGGACACAGATGATACCCCCACTTGCATATAATGTTATAAAGGGACATAACTCAAGAACAGTAAAAGTGACGCATTCTGAATTCAACTTGATCTGTGTTTTGTGGTAATAAGCATTGTGTATAAGTTTCATAATATTTGGTTGAGGCAAACTTAAGTTAGAGAATGGAAACTAATTTTGGGACGTAGGGACAGACAAGGGTAACACTTAATGCCCCCTGCGCTGCGGCAGAGGCAAAAAATATGAAAACAATAAACTGATGATGGCCAAATGATTACTATACGGTAAAGGCATCTTTTTGTCATGCAGGACACTAACTAAACAAATTGTTAGTGGAGAAATACCAGTATTATTCCCTATACTGTATGATGACATGACAAACAGTTTCATAGACACAGGTCCTGAAAGCTAACCTTAGTATCTGATAAATATCGGTATAACAACAAAGTACATTGAACTCTGAAATTCTGTCAGTAACAATGAAGTAGCTAGTTATGTATTGTTTTAACACTATATAACAGAAACTTATTTACTAACATAGAGATACAATGTTTTTCTTAAATAATAAGAAAGTAATAACAATTTATATAGTTGCTGAGTTCTGCATCTATGGAAAACTAACAAACTTTTCATGTTTTACCAAATACTGTACTATTTAATGAAATTTTCAGACCTCTAAGACTAAAAAAGTGTGTTCACATAAATCTATTCCTTCATATAAAAGACAAACAAAGGATTTCAAATAATAATAATTGCATTGTTTGATTTCGTGTAGACACAAAAAACATAAAGAAATATGACCATATGTAAATGATTTTATATAAAAATCGGCAAAGCAATGATACTTTTACATGAACAGTGACTTTCTTGAAATAAAAACTACAAACATCATGCTTGGTGTAAATCATTTTGAAATACTTTTAAATAATAACTTACGAAGGTCAATATTTTTTTTATTATATTTCAATCAACTTTTCCTACGATTTTAAAAAACTACATTCTTGGAAATAGCTTCAGATTAATTAGTAGTTAGTAGAGCTTCTATTTACGTTATGTACCATCTTTCGAAAAGATAAATACAAACAGTAAAAAGAAAAAGAAACATTTTATAAATACAAAAAAGAATTATTTTACATGTACAAGTATATAACAAATATGAAATAAATAAAGAGAATTATTTCAAAGGCTATTTACTAATAAGCAAATTTTAGCTCATAAATAAAATTTGAGTCTATATATATATTTTATCAACAATGAACAATACATTAAGAACTTAAAAATATAACAGCACTATTAAACATAATGAGACAAAAATAGGTTTGACAATATACACATTTAAACATGTAAACAAAAGTAAATAGAGTGTACTGGATTTGTGTATTTTTTCCATTGGCTGTATCCTTACTAGCTATTCATTTCTATGTTTAAAACACAACTAGCTATTCACTCAGATTAATGAATTGAGTTTCCAATGCAATCCCTGCTGTATCATTATGAAATAAATTTCCCTAGGCCCTTAAGATGGTTTAATGGAACAACTTGAACTTCCACTTTTCACATTATTCATTTTACCTTTTACTTGCTATTTTTGTTTATCAAAGATTTTGACTTATTTTTCCTGATAATTACTGATAATTGATTAATGCTTCTTGTTTTTAATTTCTTTTCAAATTCATGCACTAAATTCCAATTTCTAAAAAACCCAGCTTTCAAGTTACATGTACATAATGAAATTTCTATATTTTTTTCACATGAAAATATTTGTTATTCAAGAATATTGAGCAATTCCAATAATGCAAAACACTATGTCATTCAAAAGCTTTACTCCTTCTTGATCTTAAATTTATATCCCAAAGATCAATGTTTGCAATAATTACCTGTGATGTAAAATAAAGTGAAAGCATTTTACCTTGCTGTTTCCGCTACTTTAAAAGAATGAATGAACTGAACATGCTTTGGTCATACCTTGGTAAATACAATTCCTTGGCAATTCTTTTACTTAAGATAAGGTTATCTATTAACCTGAACAAACTTTTACAAAAGTTCCAAAAACTAATCTTACATAATATGTTGGTGTCAAACCTTTTACCTTTGTATTTTTTTTACTTAGAACAATATATTTGTCAATCTTTTTTTTTCAATTATAAAATCTTCAAATTTTCTTCTAAAAAAGTACTGATATGTTTAAATTTCAGTTAGATTATTTTGGATTTTTTCAGTCCATTGACATCTATTCCATTTATTTGAATGAAAGTTTCTTTACAATTCTTATATCCAACTACAAGAGACTACGAACAAAAATACCACATAGACAGGAATGTACTAATCTATAACTACAGATTTTGATTGATTTAATGATAAACTGAGTAATAAATAACATTTAATCATGGAATAATTAACAAGAAAACAAAACAAAAAGAAATCCAAGGCACCACATTTGTATATTTCTTTACAATCTAGTCTTTGCTGTCCACCTTTAGTATTTAAATATGGCTCCACGATGTCTTCTTCCAATAACTAACAATAAGATAAATAAAAACTCTTGTTACTTACTGTTTGTGTTAATTCATCATGTTATTACAATTATAACCTTGAAAAAAGGGTTCCTGATAACTTATGAGTCTGAGGATTTATTAGATATTTTGATGATAATTTTGTACAAATAATACTGCAGAAGAATATTGAAATTGTGTCAACATATAACTAAAAATATTTGCAGTAAATCATGTGCCTCTTTTAGTTATTCTTAATATTAGTCTGTTTGGTATTTTTTTTATGAAACTAGATACATTTAGTAAATATTTTATAAAATTGTAAATAAAAAGCAAATTATCAACCTTGTCGAAAGTTTTTGCTATGATTGTGGCATCCTCTTATTGGAAGTTCTTATTTGAATAATTTTGATCTGTCATATCTATCTGAAAAACATCCAATGTTTATAAACAGCAAATTATATTTATTACATGAATAGATTTATAGTTTTAGATAACCCACAATTTTTATCATTAATAACATATATATACGAAAAGGCATTTATAATACTAAAATTTATGTTTCTGACTTTTGACAAATAACATTAATAAATGGACAATTCATTTTCCAAACAGTATGTTATGTATACCCTGTTTAATGACTTCCTTTCTACCATGGAATCTCAAACAATAATATGGCAGCTATGAAAGAATTTCAACAACTGCTAATGGTGTAAATTGATATTTTGAACTTCAAAATATTGCAATGCTACATCAAAAAGGGAGCTCAATAACATTTATCTATCTAAATAATAAAAGGAAAATAACCAGATGTATATGGACTATGGAGTATATAATTTGTAAGATATGAGCAATAATACAAAAATGACATTAACCGGTTTTTGACTTGTTCTTTGAATTGGGATGAATATCCCTCATATGTAAAAATGACAAAGTACATAATTTGCAATGGTACATTTCTTAAAAACAGTTCTGATGAAAAAAATTGAGATAAACAATGTCAAAAGGATCTAAATATTTTGAAAGTTTAATTGAAAACCACTGTGTGGTTGAAGAAAGAGTTTTTGATGACAGATGGAGACACATGGATCCTAACCTTTACCCAAATTTGGTAAGCAGACTGTTTAATCAGCTATAGGAAGCCACATCATTTGTTAAATAACAGAGATAAGAAATGTATGCAACTACAACATATACCTGGCAAACTAAAGGCAGGTAAAATATGTACAAATTATACACAATTCTTTTGGGGCAAAATAAGGGTTTAGTCAACTGTTTTAAATACAAAGGAAAAACTAATTCATACTTCAGATACTTCCTTAACATTTTCTTCCTAATCCTTGTGTCATTGTTAAAAATATCAAAAGAAACCGAGTTTGAAATTATTTGTTAAAATCGGGTACCTATCTGCATACTACTGTACCTAACAGTGGCATTTTATTCTATAAATAAAAATAAAACTCAAAATTTACATTCTGTCCTAGAAGATAAAATATTTACCATAACTTAGAAACTTCAATTTCCCAAATGTTTTACCAAAATTTAACTTATTCCAATTATTTCTGTATATGTCTGTAATATTTTAAGTATCGATATATTTTACCTTAAATTCTTAAACTAGATGAACACAAATTAATGCAAAAGTATTCTATAAAATCCTTGAATACAGTTTCTCTGATCCATCATACTTTACACAATGGTAAAGGAGTAGGTGTGATAACGCCTCAATATGGCCCCTATTTTTAGCTAAAATTTCAAATAAGAATTAATTGACTATTATCAAAATAAATCAAAGCTAAAACAATGAAAAGATAGGGATTAAGACTTTTTGTTGATTATTTAGGTGTAGGTGAGCTTGTCATTACATAACAAATAGTACAACTTTTTCAAATTCCACAAAATTCAATGAAAACTAGTCAATTTTCATTGGTCTTAAGGACCAGGAACATATAGCTCAAGCATTGACAAAAAAGGTCTTTGAACAGCAGGTTTGTTATACAAAATTACCTATCTGACTGAAAAATATAGTTTTGTGAAACCCTGGGCTCAGTTTTTCCTAGGCCTAAATGTGGTTGAAATCCAGATAATTTTGTTCAGTTTCACCGAAATCTCTTTTTGGCCTAATCATGGTGTAAGTGTCAAAGTTTCATAAGAAAAGCTCAACAAAAATAGTTTAATTTCACTTTCTTACATGTCTTTTCAACAGCTTGAAATTTTTTTTATCTAAAGCAGTGGACCTAATAATTTTGGGGCTGATAAGGACCCTTACCAAACTTACTCTTTTGAAAATTTTACCATAGCATTGTAAAGTATTGCTAGACCACATAATTCAAACTTTTAATTCTTCATAAGTATCAAAGGGTAAAAATAATTCAATTACAGGTCATGTGGATTTCTTCCCAATTCTAAAGAAAGACAACAGATCCAATATGCTATATAGCAGCCAAAACTAAATTAGAGTCCAAAAAATTCTTACAGGACTTAAAAACTTCATCTCAGGAATATGAGATACCACACTGCAATAAAATATATCTTAACCTAGTTTATAGTCATTAACATGTTTCACCTCTATAATATACTTTTCAGACTTAATTAAATACATTCTAATCTCCTTTTCTTAATTGACTATAACAATATCATATATATAATATTTTATTATTTATCTATTTATGTAAACCCTGTTTCTTTCTTCTTTTTTTTGTTTAATGATACATGGTACTTATGTTTTCCCTCTGTTTTGGTAATAATAACACATAAATACTACAGATATTTCAACTGAAAATTGTACAATGCAAAATTATTCCCTTTTTAATAGAACTCAAACTTTAAATGCAAATTTCAACATACACCTTTAGCAGGAAAGGCACTACAAAACACTGTCTATAAAGTTATCCTGAAGTTCTGGTGGTCATTTGCATATGATAATTGATTATTATAAAGGCTTGTACCTAAGCATCAATAATTGTGCAACAATCTAACAAAGCTGGCTGAGTCTTATTTACCTCACCATATAATAAGTGTGCTAAATAATGCATTTAAAGTTCACAGTCATGAAATGTCAAATTTATAATTTTGATTTAAGGGATTCATAAAAAAATCATTTGAAAAACAATATTATATTGCAACAACTGTAAATATCTATTTATATCTGTCTACAGTTTTTCAGTTGAAATTTCCATGATTAAAAATTCATATGATTAAAAAATCAATTGTTTAATTTATAAGCAAATGATTTCTGTATGAATAATGCAAGATTACAAATAACTTAATTTATCGTCGGAAAATACATGAAAACTAAAGGAAAATGTGTTTAATAGTCAGAGGTTGTATTAAAAGACTGATATTGGTGGCCTTGATATGCATGATATAAAAAGTGTAAAAAGGTGCTTACAAATATCAATGTGACTTTACTGAATAAAACCATTCAGTCAGGCCAAAGATCCCCCTTAAAATAAGACTTCGGTGCTGTCAAAGGTTACACAAAATTTAATGCAATTGCTTTGAAAAAGTTATCCTTCTTTCTTTCTTTCTTTATTGAGCATTATCAATAGACAAGTGGTCCCTTATTTTGTAATCTGACATTATCCTTACCAAATAAATATATGAAAATGTGTATACAATAAGATAAAACATTTCTATGTATAGGTGGTCATTCAATGCACTTGCTGACAAAGTCCAAGAATCTTCGTGCATATTGTTCAGGTTTCACTGTAGATATTTCAGCATTTGCACCATGTTTCATTGTCTTTGCAGCTTGTGCTGTACGTTTTTTCACTCCATATTTTGTCAAAATGTCAATCATTGCTAAAAAATAAACCTCTCTTCTAGGACAATCTGAAAAAAAAAACAACATAAAATCATTTCATGTCATGTATATATTTTGCTGTTTATAATAATATAGATAAATAGCAGGAGTTTGTTCATGTGCCTGTCCAAAATTAAGAACCTGGCAAGTGGTTGTCCTTGGTTACATATTATTATTTAGAGATTGACATATTATATAGTAAATTGTCTTTTGTTGAAATCAGTTCTTCGACCTTTAAATGTCTTTTGGTTGCTTCTTTCTACAGCATACAGGTTCATTGGTGTATACGTTACAACTCCTCTCATTCATATATAAAACCAGGAGATGCTGATGTGAACTTATGAAAAAATAAATGAGGAATATGTCCATGGGGCACAGATGATGCCCCCTCTTGCATATAACGTTATAAAGGGACATAACTCAAGATTGGTAAAAGTGACGCTACCCAAATTCGTATTTGATCTGTCTTTTGAGGTAATAAGCATTGTGTATAAGATTTTTAACATTTGGTTGAGGCAAACTTAAGTAAAAGAACGGAAACGATAAATTCAGAAAATTCTTCCATTTGTAAAGGGGCATAACTCTAGAAAGGTAAAAGTTACGCCACCCAAATTCAAATTTGATTTGTGTTTTGTGGTAATAAGCATTATGTATAAGTTTCATAACATTTGGTTAAGGGAAACTAAAGTTAGAGAATGGAAACCAATTTCGGGACGTACGGACGCACAGACGGACAAGAGTAAAACTTAATGCCCCCTCCGATACGGCAGGGGCATAAAAATCTATAAATTCAAAGTCAAGAGAGTTGTTGGCACAAGAACATACTATGTATTATTTCCAAATCATTTACAAGGGGAGTAACTCTACTAAAAATGATTATCTGTGCAGATTTCAACTCATCCAAGATATATATTGCTAGATATTGCTGATATATACCTTTAAAGAAATTTTATCAAAATTCAAAAAATCCAACGAGAACTGAAAGCATGAGAGCCCTGAAAATGTTGACAGACATAAGCATTTCCATATCACCATCTCTGTTTTAATCTCGGAGAGTTGTCTTATGTTTATAATTATGATTGCCTATTGTGTTACTAAGGCACTGACACTTTTGAAAATAAATTTCTTATTTTTTTTAATTTCACATTTGTTTTAAGGGTGGTTGCGATTATAGACAATCAGTTCTAAACGAAACGATATTGCTTAAACTTATACAAGGTTATCAAACCATTACCTTCACTGCATTTCATTGCAAATCTCTCTATAGTAGAATCAATGTCACCATTAAATGGTGCTTGTATTAACTGTGGACTATCTGGTGGTGTAGGCACACCCCCCATGCCATTTTGGTCATCATCATAGCCATTTTCATTTTCTTCATTGCTATCATCTTCACCTTCCTTAGCCCTCTGCACCATTTCAGCAGACTCCATTTCAGCTTTATCACAGTCATGTATCCCTACTATCAAGCTGTAGTCCATTAAATGTAAGCTTGTCAAAAACTATATAATAAAACATAATAACATTTGAATTTTTGTTATTCATTTCTCACATTCTACATTACGTAAAACTCTTTGTGTCAAATTGTGATACAATAACACATCCCTACTATTTCTTATAGCCTTTTGATCACCAAAAATTAACACTGAAATTGTTTCAGTTAGATATCTTTAACAAATGAGATATCTTTAACAAATGATACTCATTAAATGAAAAAGTCTATTAATTGTCACCACCTTTTGAGTGAAAAAGCCTTTCAATATGATTTGTTTTTATGTTTCCTTCTTCTGTCACTTCAAAATCTAAAGCATAATATTTGTTTTCCAAAATACTGAAAAGATATTTGGTCAATCTATCAATGAGTTATAAATACATTTTTCAAACAACCTGCAAAGAGTTAAATTCTTTTTTTTTACGGAATTTGCTTCCTTAACATTGTATTTTTACTTTTTATTATTTAAATATTTATTTATGTTACATCCTAATTAAGGACAATTTATGACTTGTGCAACCTTTTAAGCATTTTAGAGTTTTCTCTCTTATGCCATTGGATTAACAAGTATTTTGGGGATAACTCATAAAGTTTATTAGTCTAAAGACCTAGGATCTTTTCATTTACAATCCTTTGGCCAGGACTTGAAAACTGAATACCCTGTCAAATTTTGACCTTCGCTTATCACTACTTCTCTGAAACTGAAAGTTGTATTGTGTCTATTGTTCACAATCAAGGAACAGGATTGTGGCTATGAGAAGTGGAACATATCTGTTGTTTTCTCTCTGAGACATCTACTACATATGAAGGTGTTGCTGGAATGTTGCTTCATAAAAATGGAAAGTTCAGTTTTTTCTTTGGAGTATTTTTTGTATGAACCACTCTGTTATCAACATTACATTGTGCATAAATAACTGAATGATTTAAAATAGTTTAAAGTTAGTTTGAATGCCTATGGACAAGAATAACTTTACAGAAAACTGGAAGAAATTACCATTTTTCATTTAAAAGTTCTATTTTTGGCATACATCACAAAAATTAAATGAGGAGACTCTATCACTCACCAGGCATTTTGGTAAAAAATTAAAAAAGAATAAATTTGTTAAATAGAAACTTTATGGGTCAAAAACTTGTTTGGCTGATATTTTTTTGTCGTTCAAGGTGTCAAGTCTATCTGTTATAGTTTTCAAAATATTAAGCTAAAGCACTATAAAACTTAGGTAGGGACTATACAGGTTTTTACATGAAAACATCATATCATATAAAATGTATATATCAGTCGAAAGCTTATGAATCAGTAAATTGAGGAAATACATTTTTTATGATGTACCACTTGCCTTTAATTATTATTCTATTAAGAAAAGCATTAGATTTACAAAAAATTCTGCTATTTTTTATTTACAATTGTTGTCAGAATTTTAATTTTACTAATTATGTAAATAAATAACAAGTTAATATTCACATACCCTGCCTACAAATCAGCAAAATAAATAGTTTATCACAATGAAGCTACAGTGCATACATATTGAATGATAAAACAAGTTACACTTTTAAAACTTCTATAATTATTTTACTTTGATATTTCGCAAATTTTCTAATGTTTCAAACTTTTCTCCTAAAATGCCTTCTAATCACCAGATACCCTCATATTGGTTCTGGAAGACAATCTGTCTTTGCATGTACTGCAAAATTGTAGTCAGCAACATGTACACCTTGACAATAGTATCACAGGTTTTTGTGAGTACTTTGTGCTTTTAACAGCATGAACAGTTGTTCAGGTACAATTAATTAATATTGGTTAATAATGACTTTTATTTCTTTTAAATGTATGAAATGTTTTTTTTCCCTTTTTTTGCACAAATTATTTATATTACTTCATTGGCTACTTGGATTGCACTTTAAATACAGATTGATTATTTATTGCCTCTCTTCCAGTGACTAGTATTACAGACATAAAATTAGGACAATGCCTTTTATTCAGTTTAATTTGAGAGAACAAAAATTTGGATTTTGTTGATTTTTCAAATCTGCATTGTACAACAATATATCAAAATTGTTAATATCTAAAATCTTGTATTTTGTCCCCAAAAAAAGAACAAAACTGGTATCCAGAAAACATAAATCAAAGCATACGTAATATCACAATCTAAGGTTTTTTTTCTTATTATAATGCTTTATACACTGGAATTTTTTCTTTTTTGTTTAACATGTGGAGAGAAGAGTTTACATTTCTGAAGTAAGAATATGATATAAATTGACATGAAAGAATAAAAGATCTAGTTATTATATTTGAAGACAAGAAGATTACTCCACACTAAATATGTTAAAAATAGAAATGTTGGTTTCATTTTCTTTCATATATATTGTAAACATTTGTTTTGTTCTTTTAATCAGTAAAATCTCATCTCTGTTTCTTTTGATTTTGTGAATTGTCTGTAAGGATTTTCTGTCATGAATAAATAATTCTTCCTGTTAAAAGATGAAATATCTTTTGACCTTTTGATCTTCCTTTTAACATGAAGTTTTTTCTCTTTGGAATGACAGACTACTTAACTCTTCTCATATTTGTCAATCCTGAATAATATCCTATCCTATACAATTACAAATAGTGGATTTTTCAAGTGTGTAGTGCATGTACACCAGGAAGCAAATGCAACTGCACATGATCATGTGTTAAAATCTTAAAGGTTCATTTTAGTTTTTAGTTCAAGTGTTGTGCTTGAGATAAACGTTTTATTTATTGATGTTTTCTGAATTTCTAACTTCTCACTTTGTGCATTATGACAAGCTGAGGTGCAGAATGGTAAAATGTTTCTCTTTGCTTAAGGAAATCCAGAGCTAGGAGTTACTCCCAAATATGAGGGAATACAAATAAAGTGTATATAAAAAAACATACATATAACAATGGGGATACTAGAAAAACCTTTTGAAGGCTCAATTACAATTTATTTTTTTGTTCAGAATCATTCTATTTCGGTAATTTATATACTAGTAGTTTTCGTGTTTGTAACTTTGAATTAGAAAAGAGGTATGCAAAGTATACATCTATGACTTAGCACCCTGACAACAAGGTATAGCAAACTTGAAGCTACCATATGGCTTTTAAGACATTATTTTATTCTAATTTGTGTATCTTGATTCTCTTTCCTTGTCCCATGAGAGAATATTGCATCCAAAAGATGTATGTAGGAAGTCTAGATGAAAACACAAATATTCTGATACAAAACCATGAATATTCAGTATATTATAATGATTTTTGTTTTTGTTTTAAACTTGATTGATATAGTTTGTTACAGTAAACCCATGAAAAACAAGGGACCAATCACAGTATAAATCCATAGCCAAAAGTCTTCTAAACAGTTCTTGAAAGTCTTTGATTTTATCAAGTATTTTTTTAAGCACCTCAAGTTGCTACAGAAGGTGTTTTTGAGAACATTAACATTGACTATGACTAATTATTTTAATTACTAGTTTTTCATAGGTATAAGATTTTTCATTCATAAATTTATCTATGCATGCAATGTTATCTATTTTTATCTCTGTTATTTGATTTTTAAAATTTTATCACTATTTACATACTGAAAAGATGAGTCACCTTTTATTTCTTCTAAATAAATCAAATAATTCATGTTTTAAAGATTTTTCATTTTTGACATTTCATTTGGTTAAATACCTTTCAGACATGTAACTGGATACCTTGAAGGTGATTTTCAGGTAACTGAGTAATTCCCATTTGTAATGTAATGGTTAAAATTAAAATTGTTGATATTTAATACATTACAAATATAATGAAGCGTATTTCATGTTTGAAGGTGGGATTTTTGAAAATTTTAAGATGCAAGATATGTCTAATATTAGGGGCATTGTACACACTGGATTCATTTTTACTAAGCAATGTGCCTGATTACTCAAAACTCAAGGATTTGTATTTTTGAATGGCAAAGCTCATTTTTCCTATAGTAACAGTGAAATAAATTAAAAATTTAGAAAATCTGTTCAATTCTTTTCTTCTTTTAACAAGAGAATAATAGAACATGGCCTTCTCTTTTTTCACTCCTGAACATTTTCTGTTTGTTTTGGTGTCATTATTCTATTTAAAACTTTGTAATGTCTGTAAAAAGGTAATAAAATGCTCCGCAGGGCGCAGCTTGATACGACCGCAGAGGTCGAACCCTGAACAGTTGGGGCAAGTATGGACACAACATTCAAGCTTGATACAGCTCTGAATTTGGATTGTGATTAAATATTTGACACAGCATAGGTTTCTGACACAGAATGAATGTGGTCTAAGAACTTAAAAATTTTAAATTGGACATTCACCTATTATGGTCCAATATCCAAAATCTAAATACATGGTTAGATTCAGCATATCAAAGAACCCCAAGAATTCAATTTTTGATGAAATCAAACAAAGTTTAATTTTGGACCCTTTTGACCTCAATGTGGACAAAGTTGATAATGGGGCCCAAAAATCAAAAATCTAAATACATGGTTAGATTCAGCATATCAAAGAACCCCATATATTCAATTTTTGTTGAAATCAAACAAAGTTTAATTTTGGACCCCGATTTGGACCAACTTGAAAACTGGGCCCATAATCAAAAATCTAAATACATGTTTAGATACAGCATATCAAAGAACCCTAAGAATTCAATTTTTGTTAAAATCAAACTAAGTTTAATTTTGGACCCTTTAGACCTCAATGAAGACCAATTTAAAAAACTGGACCCAAATTAAACATCTAAAAACACGGTTAGATTTGGCATATCAAAGAACCCCAATAATTCAATTTTTGATGAAATCAAACAAAGTTTAATTTTGGACCCTTTGGACCTCAATGTGGACCAATTTAAAAACGGGGCCCAAAATCCAAAAACTTAATACACAGTTAGAATCAGCATATTAAAGAACCCTAAGAATTCAAGAATAAAACCCCATTGAAATTGGTCAAGAAATAAGCAATTTATACGAAGTATCTTCTTTTGCACAATACTGAGCAATTGAATATTTCTTGCTATTGCGAAATACTGTACAGTTGACAATTTCTTGCTATTGCGCAATATTGTGCTATTGGATATTTCTTGCTATTGCACAATACTGTGCAATTGAAGATTTCTTGCTATTGCGCAATACTGTGCAATTGAAGATTTCTTGCTATTGTGCAATACTGTGCAATTGAAAATTTCTTGCTATTGCACAATACTTATTATATAATAATTTACACATCCTGTTTGGTGTGTATCTCCTACCATATCATTATTATTTGCTTTTAAATATAAAACAGAAATAACCAACTTAAAATGGAAAATTTTAAAAGAAAAAAAAAGGGAAAAAAAGAAAAAAAAGGAAACCCCCCCCCCAAACTTTGTGAACCCCCTTATGATTCATCACCCCCAAACTCAATCCCAGCCTTCCCTTTGTGGTATGGTACCTTGCAGTACAATTTCAGAGAGATCTATACACTTGAACACAAGTTATTGTCTGGAAACTAGAAAAATGCTTATTTTTGGCCCCTTTTTGGCACCTAATTCCTTAACGTTTTGGGCAATTACCCCCAAACTCAATTCCAGCTTTCCCTTTGTGATATGGAACCTTGTAGTACAATTTCAGAAAGATCCATACACTTACACACAAGTTATTATCATGAAACTAGAAAAATGCTTGTTTTTTGCCCCTTTTTTGGCCCCTAATTCCTAATATTGTGAGGCAATTACCCCCAAAATCAATCCCAGCATTCCCTGTGTGATATGGAACCTTGTGGTACAATATCAGAGAGATCCATACACTTGAACACAAGTTATTGTCTGGAAACTAGAAAAATGCTTATTTTTGGCCCCTTTTTGGCCCCTTATTCTTAACATTTTGGGCAATTACCCCCAAACTCAATTCCAGCTTTTCCTTTGTGATATGGAACCTTGTAGTACAATTTCAGAAAGATCCATACACTTACACATAAGTTAATGTCATGAAACTAGAAAAATGCTTGTTTTTTGCCCCTTTTTTGGCCCCTAATTCCTAAAATTTTGAGGCAATTACCCCCAAAATCAATCCCAGCATTCCCTGTGTGATATGGAACCTTGTGGTACAATGTCAGAGAGATCCATACACTAACACACAAGTTATGTCTGGAAGTTACAAAAATGCTTATTTTTGGCCCCTTTTTGGCCCCTAATTCCTTAACTGTTGGTACCATAACCCCCAAAATCAATCCCAACCTTCCTTTTGTGGTATTGAACCTTATGATAAAATTTCATAGAGATCCATTCACTTAAACTAAAGTTAGAGTGCGAAAACCAATGTGTCTTCGGACGACACCGGACGACGCCAGACGACGACGACGCCAACGTCATACCAATATACGACCGCAAAAATTTTTTGCGGTCGTATAAAAACAACAACCTTATTTTTTTCTCCCCACAGAAGCGATGAAATAAAAATTCAGAAGTCAACCAATATGTTCATGTAATTTTTAACATTAATATATGAATTAAATTAATAAAATGTGTTTACACTCATTTTTAACATAAATTCTTTTTGTCTACTGTACATTAAAGGTACCAAAACAAAAATATCATTTTGGAAGATGTAGAAAATTGACAAACTTCAAATTTGTTCTTCCTGTAAAAGTAATTTACCGGAAGCAAGTCATTTCGTACCTTGACCATTTCGTACCTCTGCCATTTCGTACCCAAATTTGCCATTTCGTACCCAACATTTACCATTTCGTACCCACAATAATATCCATTTCGTACCCTATGGGCAAAATGCATCTACCATTTCGTATCTCAAGGACTTAATACATGTTTACTATTTCGTATCATATTTTTTTCATGATTTTAATGTTTTTTAAAATATACCATAAATAAGATTATGCATCCAGACGTAAAATTTTTATAAAGACCGATGATTGGTTTCATTAAGCAGCACTTGGAAACTTTTATAGTTATAATTACACTTTGCTTGTTTGCAGGATTTGTCCTCAATTAATTGTTAAACTCTAAAAATATGACGTTAATTAACCAACAAAGAAATAATTATCTGCAACTGTTTTTATAGTTATTAACAGTTGTTTTTGTCAGGAAATGCAGTGAAAAGGGACACACGCTGATTTTTACTCAAAAAGGAAGCCATGAGTCAAAGTGTTTGCATAAGTATTTGCACCTTATGTGACAAAAAAAAGAACTTGCTATGGCTTTTCAATTTGAGAAATTACAGACAGCCAATAGATTACTCTGTCTGAAGATGGTCTTCCATAAAAAGTACAAGCTAAATCGGCAAAAATGTGTGGTAAATATCTTTTTTAGTGTGTATAGCAATTATTCTTTTTTTATATAAGCACACTTTCAGCACTTCAAACTAACATTCTCAACCACTACGGTTGTATATTGTATTAAGATAAAATTGATTTTTCAAAAAGATAAGGTATTGGCCAGTTCACACCAATTTGAGTGTTGAGAAGAGAAAAAATAAAAAAAAAATAAATAAAAAAGTGTGAATAGCAATTTTTCTAAAATTATTATTTACTGATTTATAGGTTCAAATACACCTTGCGATAATCAATTTAAAATATCTCAATATTTAGGCACACGTCTCAATTTCAAATGACACATGTGTTCAATCAACATTTCTAATCCGTTTAGATAGAATGCTACCTTTTTCAAATGACACATGTGTTCAATCAACATTTCTAATCCAATTAAATAGAATGGTACCATAGTGCTAACTTAATCTATTTTATAATAGAATTAAAAATATAGTGTCAAATCTTTCATATAGATTTTTTTGTAAAATAAAATGATGCAACATTTGCAGATATTTTTACTGGTCTTCCTTTATAAATATGCATTTCTTTAAACATAATTTAAAAGCAGTGTAAGGGAAGTAACCAAAACGTTATATTTGGATTACCTCCCTTACACTGTTTTAAATTATCTTTATTGTTCATTAACCATTACTTTATACATAATTTAAAAGCAGTGTAAGGGAGATAATTTCAATGATGTATTTGATTTATCTCCCTTACACTGCTTTAAATTATGTTTTGTACTAAAGTATTTGTCCATTAACCAGGACAACCTTGTTTTCCCCCTTTTTTGCCCCTAATTCCTAAACGGTTTGAGCCATAACCCCCCAAAGCAAATCCTAACCATCCCTTTGTGGTATGGAAACTTGTAGTATAATTTCAGAGAGATCCATACACTGTTCCACAGTAATTGTCTGGAAACTAGAAAATGCTTATTTTTGGCCCCTTTTTGGCCCCTAATTCCTTAACTGTTGGTACCATAACCCCCAAAATCAATCCCAACCTTCCTTTTGTGGTATTTAACTTTATGGTAAAATTTCAAAAAGATCCATTCACTTAAACTAAAGTTAGAGTGCGAAAACCAATGTGTCTTCGGACGACGACGCCGACGTCATACCAATATACGACCACAAAAATTTTTTTGCGGTCGTATAAAAATGACTAATTTAGTTCTTAGGGGTAATGATATTGCATACTTTTGGTATACATATAAAATTGAGCAGCTATATCAGTTATTTCAACATGTATAAATCAAGATATTTTTTTCTTGAAAAGGTTTGAATTTTACAGGTATATAGAATTACAAGTGACTAGCAATATAGATTATCAGAACATTACCTGGCTAACAGGTGTCAAAAGTTTAATTACTATAACAACTGTCCCCTAATAAATGTTGACATAACAGGAAAAAAGTCATAAAAGTGATTTCTAAAGATTGTTTTAAACAATGAATTAATTCCTGACTATTCAACAGCATGATAAAAATGTTCTAAATGCAGGAAATGTTTTTTTTAATAAATATATAACATATATATATATAAAACAATTTTTAAAATTTTTTTAATTGCATCTTTCAAAATAACTGTTAAGAAAATCAGATGTTATATAGTCTCTCTTAAGTGACTGACTTCATGGTGTTAATGACTATATCTGTTGTATGATTAAATTAATATTTGATAAATCTTCATTAAACCATGTTCATGAAGAATGTAGGACAGAAAGTCACAGGACAAAAAGTCACGGACAAAAAGTCACGGACAAAAAGTCACAGGACAAAAAGTCACAATTCAGTTTTGAGATTATTTTTCTTTGAACAAGAAAAAACTAATTTAAAAAGAAATATTTTGTTTTTTTCTTAAATTATTATTTATAAAGCAACTTTGTAATTAAAATTTATACTAGTATTGACCGCTTTTTTGCCAACCGTGACGAAATGGCATACATATAAATCTTCCATGAGGTACGAAATCGCACATCAATGAAACACATATAAATCTTCCATGAGGTACAAATGACATACATGTAAATCTTCCGTGAGGTACGAAATGGCATACATGTAAATCTTCCATGAGGTACGAAATGGTATATACACAAATCCTCTATTAGGTACGAAAGAATCTTCCATGAGGTACAAAATGGTATACATGCTAATATTCCATGAGATGAGGTACGAAATGGTCAAGGTACGAAATGGTCAGGGTACGAAATGGTTTTTGCCAGGGTACGAAATGGTTAGGGTACGATATGACTATAATTCAATTTACCTCTGCATCCTTGGTAACAGTTGCCATTAGTTTGTCTTTTGTATCTTTACCCAGGAATATAACAGCTTCATCTCGGATAAAATCATTGTCTTTATATGTTGGTAAGTCTTTAGACTGCAACAAAAAACATCAAACTATGCCGATAACTTACATATGTAACAAACTTATATATATATATGGTAACAAGGTTTTAAACTTGTCATCATCATTATCATAATCATCTTCCTATTAATAAATGGAAATGTACAGTAAACATCAATCACTAAACCGAAACTGTACATTATCAAATTATGGTAACAGTATCATTTGAATTACTTGATATGATTTCAATAGACAATTTTTGTCATAGTATTCTGTCCTTAAAAGACTTTATAAAACTTTTGGTTTTACATATATGTAATGCTTTAAAATGAACTGAAAGGTTCTAATGAAATAACTTGAGATTTAACGTCTTACAACTAAATTCATTGGTATTCATTTACTAATGTTGTATGCAAGTAATGTTACCTTTTCCTTGTCACTTGCATGTCTGTCTACAGTTGACCCCTGTAAATATACATATTCATAAATATACAATGATGCTAAAACTTGTTTACTTTAGAAAAGAGATCATTAGATAACATTTAACTAAATTTTTATTACTGAATGCCTACAGAAAATAATGCCTTAGAATAATCTTGCTTTGTTTCATCTTTAACTGTAAAGTAAGTGAGAAATTAACCTCTTAAATAAAAAAAAAAAAAATCTAATCAGCAAATGGCATTAACGATGAAAAATAATAAAAGGGTCACAGACTTCGTTTTAACTGGATACATCATTCAAAGTTGTGTTCTATTTGAAAAAATACACAAAATATAGAAATAATCTTAACATCATCACTTTGTAAGCCGTAAAACGTACATTTTTGACATTTTTTTACTACCAACTAGGTAACAGATTGATTGGTAAACACACAAAAAACAAAGTCAGTGACCATATGATTACTTTATACTATCAAAACGGAAACTTGTGTATCAACAACATAAAAGTTTCATAAGAAAAATCTAGGGATTTAAAATTGGAAATTTGATCATTTTAAGACAAATTTAATATTGTTTTTCTCTGATTTTATGTGCTTTCTATACAAGTTCTCACCTATTTCTAAAGAATTCAATCAGTCATATTACAGAAATTAGTTTGTGATAGTTGATAAATATCAAATGCCTAAATTGTGTTTTATATTTTGCCCATCATCATCCTTGCAAAATATAATGCAGATCAATATGGGTACGGGTCAAGTGTTTAAAAAATATTTTCACAAATTTTCGGTAATTTGTTTGAGGACTTAAACGTCTGGCAAATTTATCAAACCTACAAATTCATGCTAGAAGTCACAACAAACGAACATGTATCAACAGTTTTACAGCAAATAAAAAAATAAAAATATAAATTGCAAATTCCTTAGGAATACTTCATTGGATTTTGGGAAAAAAAGAAACAGAAACTGGACACTTAAAATTGATTATTTATTACCAATGAATTTTTAAATACAATACAGAATTTTAGCTACAAGTTGAAGACACAGAATTTTGAATTTATTTGTTTAGATTTACCTTAACAATCTTACCTTTAAATCATATTTTTTATGAATTGTTAACCTCGGACTGAATACATTCCTCATAATAATCAAATAATGTTCTACATCATTGACAGTAATCCTGTACATTCCAAGATAATGTGGTAATAATGTCTGGGCATGAACTTCTACAATGTACTGAAAGAAAACAAACAATTTTCCTCATATCATAAGAATATTTTTCAATATTAAACTCTGCTCATTAAGCATGAAGTCTGTATTGTACATAAATTAACAACAAAATTTATACTAGAACTGTCTGCTAAGCTGGACTTACACCCCAGGCATCCTTGATAAATGTTTGAGCACGCAAGTGACTGAAATACAAGGAAACAAAGAAGTTGATAATATGAATTTCGACATTTTTCTGGTGTTTTATTTGATGTTGTCTCAAATGCCTGAACATCCTAGGTCTAGATACATGCATAATTGCATATTATGATGGAGCACAATACCATCTTTGATGAGTTGCAATGACATGTAGATATGATAAACCATGAAAGAAGAGTTGCATTGACAAGGTAGCTATTTCAGTGCTTGTGTGTGAATAATATTTGTCATGTAATGTTTACATTTACAATTGGGTGTTCCTAACCTCAAGGATAATTACCAATCAAATTCAAATATAATGTATGCAGGTCTAACTCTGCTTATCTATATTGTTTGCAGATGTCAATCTTAATACAATGCTTGAATAATGTTTATACAAACAAAGCAAGCAAGCCAACCAAAGTCTTACTATACAAGCATTTGGAAACTAGCTCTTTTTTGTATCATGTGTATGTTTGTTCTAATTTAAACAGTTTTACCTGTAATATTGTAATACTGCTGAAATGCAATCAATTAATCGGGACACCATATAAATCTAGGGGAAATTTTTCTCTTTTATCTGATGATATTGTTATTTATCTCCATTACCTGATATTATTAATTATCTCCCTTATCTGATGATTTGATAATTATCTCCCTTACCTGATGATATTGTTTAAGTATGTGATGCATTTGTTCCACTTCCTCAGTGACTAGACTTTTTATGAAGTATTTTTGATCATGAGACATAAACATCCTGGCACCACTCCTCCCTGGAGAATCAATCTCAACTGGTTGTTTATTGGTCAATGAATTCTGTAAAAAAAAACATTCTAGTTTACAAATTGCATTTGAAATAATTTTCCTTATTATGAGCTATATCCTGACATGTTGGCTAACAATTGATGCTTTACAGGATTTTTCATTGTCTAAATTTCCAGGGTGGACAATTGCCAAAGCAACAAGAGTGCACATTCCAATAAAGTCTTACCTGCTTTACAGATTATGATTGTATTTATGTTAAAAGTTTTAAAGAAAAAAGTTCTACTATAAGTATTACCTAAAGTTCAGATTATCAATGATCCATGTAAATGAGGTCAAAGTCAGATGAACATTTAAGCCTTACAATCATTCCATACACCAAATATTGATAACTTATTTCTTATAGAATCTGAGAAACAGACTACACCATGAAAACTTATTCTTGACCAATGACCCATGAAAATGAGGTTAAGGTCAAATGACATGTACACCTTACAATCATTCCATACACCTTTTAGTTATAGAATCAGAGAAACAGACCTAACCACTAAAACTTTATGCTGACCTTTGAACCAGGAAAACGAGTTCAAGTTCAAATAAACATGCTAGACAGACATGTACCCCTCACAATCATTCCATACAACCAATATAGTTGACACTTAACCTTAATCATTGATCATGAAATGAGGTCAAGGTCACATATTCCCTTTTTGACAAACATATACCCTTGAAGGACAGGCCTCGACAATAACGCTTGTCCGATTGTCCGGTACCAGAGGAAAAAAAGGTCGGACAAGTAAAAGCTATATCAAGCTTGTCCGACGGGACAAGTAAAATTATTCTGCAGAAAATAAATTTAATCAACTTTGTTGAACAAAGTAATTATAAACAAAAAAACAAGAAAAGAAGATAAAAACAAGTATTAATTTGACATGTTTACTTGCAATCGATACTTTAAAACTGGTTCTTTGTCGGGTACTTTTTAAGATGTAAAAGGCATACTTTTCTCGGAAACCAGTCTTACTGATCCGAATCAGCGATGCGCTTTGTAGGTAGGTAACTTTTCAAGGCAGTTCGTCGCCAGCTGGGAAACGATTCGGCTTCAAATTTAATAGACAATTTGCCACCGTAGGAGACATATTTCAAGGACATGATTAATAGACAGTTTGGCAACGCAGGAGACATTTCGGGACCAAGACAAATCAGTACCTTGTTTTCCGACCTTATTCTGTTGCTTTATAATAAATACCATACCGGTAATTTTTTTAACCAAAAAATTTTTTAAATAAAAATGAAGAAATTATTTACCATAAAATTCACAAAATCATATTTGATCATATGTAGAAAAAAACAATACTTGCAATACGGTGACCTATAGTTGTTAATTTCTGTGTCATTTGGTCTCTTGCAGAGAGTTGTCTCATTGGCAATCATACCTCATCTTCTTTTTTTTATTGATTGCATTTGAAAAAAACTTTTTTTCAACTTAAAAACCAAGATACAAATCCAATGAGTGTACATTGACAGGCCTATCAGACGGTGCCTCATGTGCAGAGTCTGATGAGACTTTGGCATTGAAGAAAGCTAGAACCTACTTTCTGTGACATGACTAGATTCAGTTGTTCTCGACTCAGATTTTTGAAAAGTATATCAAAAGATATAAATCTAATTCTGTTCTATTGTTTTAATTCATTTTGTGCCTTGAATCAACTTAAAATGCAAAAAAGGTTATTATTAAGATTTTTTTTGGACAAGTTACAATTTCATTCGGACAAGTAAGTTTTGGTATGTACTTGTCCTACTGGACAAGTTGAAAAAAAAGTTATTGTAGAGGCCTGAAGGATTCCATATACATGTACCAAATATAGTTATCTTATTCCTCATAATAAATGAGAAATTCATATGACAAAAAAACTATGTTTATTTAAGCAATCACTTAACCTGTAAAATGAGGTCAAGGAAAATGGACAAATGACTGACGGAAACTTCATAACATAAGGCATCTGTATACAAGGTGTGAAGCATCCAGTCTTCCACTCTTGGAAATATCTCTATACAAACAGTTGATCCCATTGCAGCAGTTGGATTTGCATCTCTATGTCTAGAATTCAGTGACTTTTTTATTACAGGCAATGATACAAAAATGAAAAGTCACTGTCCAGTTGTTCTTAGCTTTGTTCATGAAAACTTTGTAATAACAGAAACTTATCACATGACTTGAAGTCTGAGAAATAATTCATTGACCTAAAGAGTTAAAAAAGAAATGTTTTATTGTTTTAAAATAAAAGAGAAGAAAAATAATTGTTTATGTCAGAATTGACTGTTTTTTTACTTTTTACATTACATTTGGCTTTAGTCATCATGGTCATTGTTATCTTACCAAATATGAGGAGGTAATTTGGGAAACATATTTTCAATTTTTTTTTAGTTTTCTCTAAAATAAGCATGGGAACACACTTTTATAATAAGCTTAGATCAAATTGATTGGAAAGCCGACTCATATACAAATATCAGAAAAATGACAAATACATAACTGCTCAATAAATGTCAGCAAATTTAACTTATTTTGGCATGGAATAAATTAAATAAAAAATTTTATTACAATTTTGACACCAGAAATTCTACGGATGATTGTGTATAAGTTTGGTTCCAATTTGTATAGTGGTTTTAGAGAAAAAGAGTTTATGAAAGATGAAAGTAATGACGAAAGCTCTCATCTTCTTAGATTAAACATGATATTTCACCTTCTAATTAACTTTATTTAAGGACATTTCATTCAATAATTATCAATTTTTAATACATGTACTTTGGTTATTTGTATTTGTTATGATTTTTTCTTTCTTTAGCATGCATATAATAGAAATACACTGTACAGTCATGAACATAACATTTTAATGAAAATATCGAAATCAAAATCTCTCTGTCATACTCTAACTTCTCCCAGAAGTCTTTCCATCATTTTATAATTTCTTTTTGAAGTCTCTCCTTCATTCTCTAATGGCTGTGGCCTGTTATCTTTTTCCTCCATGAAGAGTTATTTTCTAGCATTACATCAAATGTTCAACATCAAGTGATATCGCAAATTTGTTATTTAGTTGGTCTATTCCTGAATGTCATTTTAAATCAATTCTCAAATTGTGACAGTTCAATTGGCTGTTAGTAAAGTCAATGAAGACCTTTATTCCAATAAACATAATAAACTTGACATTTATTATTATACTGAAATAAAACAAGAGTGCACACACTGAAATGTCTCGCCTGTTTTACTTATCATTGAATTTATGTTGAAAGTCTGTAATATGAAGGCTTTACTACAAGCATCACATAAACTTAACATTGACCAATAAAGCATGATAATGATGTCAAGGTCACCTGAACCCTGCCAGACAGACATGAACACCTTTCAATCATTCCATACAACAAATATAGTTGACTTATTGCTTACAGTATCTGATAAACTGATAAAATCACAAAATTTGTAATTGACCAATGAACCATGAAATAAAGGTCAAGGTCATATGAACCCTGCCAGACAGACATGTACACCTCACAATGATTCCATACACTAAGTATAATTGACCTATTGCTTATAGGGAAAAAAGTAGTATTACATTTTCCCAGCTTTAGGTTGGCCTTTTGTGTACCCAAGGCAGGTGAAGGAAGTCAACTTAGGAGCGCTGTGATTGGATGTAAGGGTACAATATAATTTTTTTATTTATCTATGAATAACTGCAGTGTGTATATTTACAATATAAATTTTGAAACCTATTGAATATTTTCTTGAGAATTATTCGAAAAGACTTCCAAAATTTCATAAATTTGATGTAAAATGACGGTGGGCATGGATAACATAAACAAGCTCCGTTGGAAGTTGGTCATGATTCTATTTGACTTCAATTTCTAAAACAGAATAATAAAGTACTAATACCACACATAACTGTTTTGACAAGGTTTTTATTATAAAATTTTGTAAGGGTTCCGCGGAACCCAGTGTCTCGCCTACTTTTTCTGTTAATCGCAGGCTCAACAAAAATGAGGAAGTAAATCAATAAAATATTCCTCTTGATACTATCTTTTGATTGTAAGAAGCTTCTGTCCAAGTTTGGTAAAAATCCAGGATAGTTTATGAATCTAATAAATGTTTAAAAACTTTAACTGCAGACTGAATGTAATGTTAACTGGAAGAAAACAAAATTTCCTTCTAGATACTAGCATTTGATCATAAACAAGCTTCTGTCCAAGTTTGGTACAAATCCAAAATAGTATAAGAAAGTTATTAAAATTTTAAAAACTTTAACCACAGAGTGAATGTGTTGTTTCCTGGCAGAAAATCTAAGTCCATTTAAAAGTAAAATATGGAAAAAAATAGATTTATTCTATTACAAAATTTCCTTCTAGAAACTAGCTTTTGATCATAAACAAGCTTCTGTCCAAGTTTGGTACAAATCCAAAATAGTATAAGAAAGTTATTAAAATTTTAAAAACTTTAACCACAGAGTGAATGTGTTGTTTCCTGGCAGAAAATCTAAGTCCATTTAAAAGTAAAATAAGGAAAAAATGGAATTTTATTTTCACAAAATTTACTTCTGGATACTATCTTATGATCATAAACAAGCTTCTGTCCAAGTTTGGTAGAAATCCAGGATAGTTTAAGAAAGTTATTAAAATTTCAAAAACTTTAACCACAGAGTGAATATTTGTGGACGCTGCCGCTGAGGGAATGTAGGAGCGCTATGTCTCGCTTTTTCGACTAAAGTCGAAGGCTCGACAAAAAGTGGTAAATTTAGAAAATGTTAGTATTGTCGCCTATGGCAGAATAAATACTACTGTTTTCCCTATAATATCTGTGAAATAGACCAAACCACAAAAACTAAAACCATGAAAATGAGGTTGAGGTCAGATGAAACCTGACAGACAGACATGTACACCTTACATTCATTCCATACACCAAATATAGTGGCCCTATTGCTTATAGTATCTGAGAAAAAGACCAAACCACAAAAACTAAACATTGTTCCAATGAACCATGAAATTGAGGAAAAGGTCAAATGAAATCTGTCAGTCCGACATGTACCCCTTACAATATTCCATACACCAAATATAGTTGACCTATTGCTTACAGTATCTGAGATGCGGACTTGACCATGTAACTTCAACCTTGGTCACTGATCCATGGAATAAGGTCCAGGTCAAATGAACCCTACATGTGTATAGCTACCTGATAGACATGTAGATGTTGCAAGGAACCCATATAGTTATCCTATTACTCATAATAAGCTTAAGGGAGTATTTCACTTAACAAAAAAACTGGATTTTTTTTTCAAGCAGTCACTGAACCATGAAAATGAGGTCAAGGACAATGGACGGACTGAAACTTCGTAACATAAGGTATCTACATACAAGGTATGAAGCATCCAGGTCTTTCTTCTTTTTGAAATATAAAGCTTTTAACAAACAGTTTACGCCGTCGCCACCAGATTGTAATACCTATGTCTCACATACTTTGACTTTTATTGCAGGCGAGACAAAAAACTAAAGATGATTTCAAAATCTATCCAATTCTCACTGGTTACCAAAGCTGTATTTCTTTTACTTCTTATAGAAGTCTCACTAGCATTTTCTTACTTCTATCTATTTTTCTCTTAGGAAAAGTGGCTTGCCACTAATGTTTTCAGTGGAGTGACCACTTTGAGCTTGCCTTCTAAGTGGAATTAAGTTTATAAAAACTTACCATATAATCATGATCATCTATATCAAATCTTTCACGTAAATTTCTGAACACAAGAGGGCAATATTCTTTGACCTTATAATGACTAGGCATTATATCTCTAAAAGAAAAAAATATATAAATCTATTATGAGTGTACAGCAATAAGATATAAATAGTTAAATGTACATAAAATTCAAGAAGCACCAAGGGCACAAAGGCAAGAGTTGTGATTTTTATGAATTTGTAATAGATAAAAAGTTGTTTGTGTCAGATCTTTTTCCATGTTTTGTGATGAAGAGTGTTAAGTTTATTGATAATTTATGTCAAATAATGGAAAACTGAAAATTTGCATAAATTTCAGTCTATTAATTGCTGCTGTAACCTTGACCTTTGACCAAATTCCCTCAATCAAAGTTTATTTCACACGAAGGTGCATCAATTTATCCACCAAAGATTGGTAAAGAACTTGTCTGAAAGATATCGTCAAAAAACAAATCTCTTTCCAAAATTTCAGTCTATTCATAAGCACTTTATACTTTATTTTTGACCTAGTGACCAAAAAATCAATACTGGTCTTGTTCTTTCCTAGGGCCGTTTTCAAGCTTAGTGTTGTAATGGTTAGACATCTGATTCAAGACGCAAATTCTTGCCCAAATTTCAGTCTATGAATAATTGCTGTGATCTTGATCTTAACCATTTGACCTCAATATCAATAAGGGTCTTTTTAACCATGTTGTTTGATATAACCTATTTCAGCAAGACAACTTGAACTTAGCTAAAACAAGGTTTTCAATTAGACCTTTTGAGACATATACCTTGTATGTCCTTTAATTCATATACATGTTTATATATAAAAGTCTCTCTACACTAAATGATTATTGACAATGTGATCAATACAAATGATAAAGTAGAGTATTAATTCTGCTATACAAGGTCCAATTATTACCCAATACCATATGATAACAACTCATCAATTATCTCTTCAATACAAACATAATCAATATAATGATATAACTCCACAAGGACTTCTTAATAGCTATCTCATAGTCACAAAATAAATGCGTGTTTCCCAAAATGGACTCAAATAAAGGGTAGTTTTTATTTCAACAGAAAATAAATGTAGTATTCTTTTCAACAGACTCTAATTAACAAAATATGTATATATCAGTCTTACACAGACACTGGAACCCATTGTTGTGTACTCAAAAGAAATTGATTTAAGTGCAGTCACTGCAATTGAAATTTGTGATAATTATATCTTGCCATTTAATAACTTGAGATAAATATACCATAATGCATTCAACTCTGTCCCAGACATTTTTTATTAATCCCTGATCATAAATTTTCCTAAAAGTGTTCTTAATTAATAAGTGATAAAATTTCAGATCAAGACTTATTTCATGAACTCCCATCAGATGGTGACTTTCAAACATGACATTAACTTCCCTTTACATTCATATTTGTTAACAGCAATAAGTTCTTAATTAAAAAGATTAATTAATGAAGGTTTAAGTTGTGTGAAGACTATTGATCAACTAAATAAATAAAGTTCTATATAAATCAATCTGAATACAAGATATGCCAGACAGTTGCATGTATCATGTAATTCCAATTACCGAATTTCGTTCTACATGATAAGAACAAGTTGAAATTTTATTGGTGTTCAAAATGGATTCCATCTCTGAATAAAAACACCAATCAATATCAAATTAAATATATTCTTCTTGTTGTATTTCCAATTGCTTGTTTGTTCTATATTACTTTCCTTTACAGTTATTTTCAATTTTTGTAGGTTGTTCTATTTTCATTATTATGCACATGTAGGTTGTTGTTGATATCTTTACCCATTTTCTAGACATTCTTTTAACTTATAAAATAACAGGTTTTGACAGAAGAAATTATAGTTTAATAAACAAGAAAGTAACCTGAAGACAATGGGGTTCAACAAACTAGAGGCCCCAAAAGTAAAACTCATTTGGTTTATGTATTAGGTGCATATGTATGGTCATATATTTGTATTACTTTCTGCTACAATTTCGCTATGCTATTAAGGCTCATCTTTCAGCGGTACTAGCATGGAAAGTATTTGTAATGAGATTTTTTGGAATAAAACAAGCATTCTGAGAGTATTGCATGGCAATACATAGTCCCCTACCGGGTAACCTTCATTTTGTGGAATGGAACCTTGTGGTACAATTTCATAGAGATCCATAAACTTATTCTCAAGTTATTGTCTGGAAACCAAATGTCTTTGAACTACGAAGACGACAACACTGAAAACGTCATAACATTATATGATTTTTTGTCAAATAAAAAGTATGTCAAATGTTAGTTCAATCAGAATGCACCAAATAAGAAATTTGCATTGTGGGTCCAAGAAACAAAATTCCTATAATGATTTTTTCTAATAAAAAATTGGCCTTAAAGTTATTATTCATTTTTTATTCCATACATTGTAAGATCTTTCTGCACAAATATACATGTATATGCCATCTTTTGTACAAATTGAACCAGTTGGTTTCAAAAATATAAGAATGCAAAAAGTTGGTAAAGATTAATCTCAAGTGTTGTACCTGGAAGGAATAGGATTTAAAGGAATTTTCTTATATATACAACTATTACAAGAGAAAATATTACTTATTCAATTAAGATCAAATGCTACTTTGATTCCCTTTTAGGACATGGGACAGCAAAGCTTCGCTTGTAGTGACAACCCTGTCATCTAAGTCACTGGCTTACACGATCCATGGTTGTAAATTACGTGAACTATCTTATTTGTACTTACTTATTAAACATGTGGTTGTCTACTTTTACTTTACTAAAAGCCTTAAAATCATCAGGCATGAGCATAACAGGTACCTTGACATGTTCCAACCCTGTAATCTGTAAATAATTAATAAATTACTATTTAGTGTCATGTCATGATCTTAAAACATTCATAATATAGTTATTTCTTAAGTTCTCAAGATTTTCATTGAAGATTGGTCAAATTATATTGTTACAGAACTGAGGGGTGTGTCCCCAAAGTTAAAAAAGTATTACTGCATGTCAACACTGTTTGTTCTGTTATTGACTTATTTACACATTTGGGTATTTAGTTGAATTTGTTCTGAATGACCCTAGATCTGACTGGTTCCAAAAAAATGGTAAGGGCATAAGTTTGTAGCTGGTGACACTGCCACATTTCAGAATTCAGGTTTTTAATTACAATTCTAAACATGTACATGTACCAGGGCTTCCAAAACAATTGTATTGATTGGACTTGACCGTTTAATTATATTTATGACTTGTCATGCCAAGCCTGAATCAGACATATATTAAAGGTGGGTTTGCCATTTTAACATAATTCAGAAAAAAAATTTGAAGTGTATGCGATCTATTTCACCTGACCTTTTGCCTCAAAGAACCAGAAGATTAAAATCGGGATAAGACAAAAAAATTATCCAGCTGGCTCAAATATTTTTTGGAAGCCCAGACATGTACATATTTTATCCTGCAATCAGCCAACTATTGTACAAATAATTGGTTAACAAAGTTTTTGCAATTTGTGCATAGTATACAAATAAAGTCTCCTTGTATCTTTCTTCTATGCTGAGCACATTGTAATGCTAAATTTTCAAAAAAAAACATGACTACTCTTAGCGAGAACCCTGCAGGACTCTAAATAAAGCATATATTGATATGTAATGTTGTTTTGAATTCAAAAGGACTGCGGCAGTGTTCTAGAATTCCCCTTTCCCGTCACCCGTGGCAAGTTGATTTAGGTCACGGGAAAGTGGAAATTCAAACCTTTGTTGTCCTTGGGCAAGTAAAATTAAATAACAGAAACTTCATATTCATACAGATCAAACAATCCATGTAACCGTTTGTATTCTTTTATTTCAATCAAAGTCTCAAAGCGAGATCGTTGTTGTTGGTGTAAATCATGCAGGGGTTCTAAAGTCTAGGGGAGAAAAACGTGCGCATGGGTTTCGTGATCACCGTCATAAATACGCTTGCCAGCTAAGCAAGGAAAATCCACAATGTCAAGTATCCATCCGATCAAGACGCAAAAACCTAATAACCAGAACGCAAACGGTACAAGATTTAATATCCGGATCTCAAATTCGTGATTTTTTGCGTGTAATGTTTGACGATATTATCCCTTTTTTGTGCCAATACATTTGAATTACTGATGTAATGTCACATTTATATGAACTATCACTGTGTAATATATTCCATCAAATGTTTTGTATATCTAGATGAACATGACATTGAATTATCAACACACGATCACAAGCTAGTTAGACAAACTAATTAATTTCAAAGGAAATAACAGTGTTCATAATTTCAAATCGAACTACATGTATAAACATGCGATAAAATGAATAACAAAATTATGAAAACATTTTAAAAATTGTATAAAATTCAGTGAAAGTTCATTAAACTTGTGGGAAAGTGAATTTTTGATACCAACTTTTGCATATGTATAAAAATCCTAGAACACTACTGTGTATGTATAAAACATAAACATAAAAGTATCATGTCATGGAAATATTTTATTACGCTTACAAAATGGCTTAGATGCTGAAAAAAATTAGAAAGTAATAATATATGCCATGTAAGTTAACAGACAATGCAAGCCAAACAATGAATGAGTTGCACAAGATCTCTTGCCACAAAAAATAATTCCATAATGTAAATGAGATTTCAATCTTTCTTACGTTTGTAATATTAAAGTCCTGGACTTAACCATACCATTTTATCGGACCAATCTGATTGATACATAGACCCTTTGTCCACCTTTCACTTACAGTACAACCCCTAACACACTCTGATAAATTAATGTCCACCATCAAATGGTGAACATTTATTGGGGGTCATAAAACATAGGATGTTTGCCATTTACAAATGGTTATACGGTCATATACCATGGGCTGGTTGTCAATCCAATAAGGTTACCTGGAGAGCAGAATATTTTCACTATTGATTAAAACAGGTGTGTAAATATATAAAGGATCTGACAATGCTCCATTCTACTTTCTGTTTAAAACATATATCGGAATCCTCTAATTTTGATGTAATAATACACACTTTCAAAAATTTGAAGGCTGAAATTTCATTGACTGATGTAATAATTACCAGAACGAAAAGTAGGATTAATTTCAGATTCTTTTATTATAGAAAATTAAAGCCTGGAAACAGGATCTTCATTTTAATGTGATTGTTTTCTGACTGGCTATGACTAGTCCAAATAATTAAATGATGTCTTGAAATGCTATTTTAAAAATAGTAGAGAGGCGTCACCAGGGGCTGCTCAGGCTCCCAAAAAGTTGGAGCTATTTTTTGTCGCTAGTTTGGAAAACATTAAGCCACTTTAAAAGCAAGAAGGGTCTTTATTTCTTTTACCCAAACTGAAACCATGATCAATTAAAATTTCTTATGCACTGTACATCAATGCAATGAACTATAAGAGAAGATTTGCCATGTAATGTATTGCCCTGTTAATCTACATCTATTCTTCCTTGTTGTTGAAGGAAAAACTAACAGGTTCACTAACACTGTTGTTGTCCAAAGTGTGAAACTTAAGCCAAATCCAGATCCTTTAATAACTTTGACTGAAGGGAATTTCGTAAATTTAATTTTCGCTTCCCTATTCATAAAGTTTTGAAACAACAAACCATATTGTATAATGTAATCTTCTTGTCATCGCCACTTATTTATTATTATTGATAGTTATGATTTCACACTATCACCCTTTTGATAGTCTGTGTACCTGTATGAAATCATTAGCACCTGCTAGCATATGATAAATTTACCCGTAATTGCCATATTATTTATATTTAATTGGTTTAGGGCTTCCAATTTCTTGCATTTCCATCAATTATCACTATTATATATAAAATCAACAATCCTGAAAATGCATGAAATATTTGCCACTGGACTTTAATCAATCAATCTCAATTGGATTTAATTAAACCTTTATGGCACCATTGCTGTCCTATGTTGCACCTGATCAATGCTAATTGAATGCTAATGAAATGAGTATACCCGTTACTACTGTTTTGTAAAACAAGGATTATCATTGTTGTTTCTGCAAAGATATTGATAAATACAGGTGTATCATATGGCCATGTGTTTTTCTTCTATTCAAGATAAAATGACCAACATGTATATTTAAAAAAAAGCTTCATTACGCCCGGAAAGCTAGGCTAAATATAATTGTAGACTTCTGTTATTAAAACTGTATCAGATGCACATATCCTCAATTTTGAATGGTCTTCAGTGATCCTCAAATAATGTAAATTCTGAAGATTTTGGTAGACATTTTATATGAGTACTATTTACTTTTATTTATGTACTGTAGATTATATTACGGTATACAGTCGAGAAATGAAAATTTTTACCTGGGCAAAATGTTGACACCAGTAGCCGTATTTTGCAGCAAGATGAAAATATGCAATTTCCAACATTGGCAAAGCAGAGTGTGGTTCATGCCTCACAGAAAAAAAAGTCTATCAAGACCTCATTATTATTTGGACTAGTAGCTTCAGAACCCTACTTCGGTGGTCCAGTGCTGATGTTTTGCTTGGTCTCCATATTAATAAAGAAAACCAAAGGATTATTAGAATAAAATGACATGAACTGTTTACAACTTTCCAAAACTTAAGATCATGGTGGTTGCAGGGTGTTAATCCCAAAAGGGTTTAGCAGGATGTAGCCTTTGAAGGTTTTGTAAAAGACCGTTTAATAACGTGGGGGAAGTTTATGTGAATGTCTTAGAACAGATTAATATTTTTTGAAGAAGCTAAAATATCAGAAACTGACCGTATAATTTATTCCCCACATAAAAACGCTCATCTGTGGATCATTCGCACGGAAAAGTTTCAACTTAGGTGTAACCGCTTTGAATTTAGGCTTCATTTTGGCATTTGCCATTATGCCTTGCTTTCTAATTGCACTCTGTTGCACAAAGAACACGTTTGTTATATTCTGTCAAGGTGACAGCAAATTTATATGACGATCTGACATTAATTCATCTTCTTTTCCAGGCTGAATCATTTCATTCAACATCCAAAATGGCGATAAAAACAAAGTACGATATCCCAATGTGCAATTTTCTTTCATAGGGGAGGCAACTCTGACAACAAAAGATTTCAGTGCAGTTCGACTATTTTAAAATACAACTTATATTTTTTTCTCGTTCAAGAATAAATGAATTAGCTACGAGATAAAAATAAAAAACAACAAATTATTTTTTATTGTTCAATCATTAATGAAAACGAAATAGTGAAATAACAATTCTCTGCTAGCTTATTATACTCCAGTTTGGTTCAGTTTTGTCAAAATAAGCTAAGAAACCTTGCTAATGAATTATTCACTTGTAAGTGAATAATTCGACCTCATTTTATCCGTATTCATGTGACCTTTAATCTAGCCCCTTCGCTGGAGATGGGTTACGCATGTATTCAGCTAATACATGGGAAAGATCCACAAAAAAGATCATTCTCTTATACAGGTAAAAACGTTGATAGACATACTTTTTAACCTACAATATTAAATCAAACAGACCTAGAAAAACCAAATTGCACGTGGTCGCTATCTATTTATATTTATATCTATGTTTATATTGGGTTAAATGACCGTCGGCAGTCTTCGGAGATCATCTCGATGGTTAATAAGATGACGTCTAGACAAAAAATACCGTGCATGAAATATTATCGAGTTCATGCTTTAATTGTTTTTTTTTTAATTTTTAGACTTTTTGTAATTTGGATCAAGGACGTATATTAGTATGTTAGTTATACGTCCTTGTTGGGATATACTTTTTAGTATGTTATCAATCAAATATGAAAATTTGAGTCAAATCGGTGAACATGAATTTGACAGCCAATACCCCTTTAAGTAAAGTTTTAAAATATAATATAAAGAAAAAGTATCGATTTCTCTCAGCAATATCTAGATAGTAATCCTTTTTTCGTGCAAAGGAAACGTTGCGTCTTGTACAACGGGATAGGGAAAAGTTGTTTGCAGATCTATGCAGTCAATTAAAATATTATATAAAGAGAGCTGGGACATAATATCTGGGACTATATATGTTAGTAGATACTATTCCAAGATGAGATTTACCTATTAATATACATCAAAGACATACAATACAATGTATAATATCTCTCTGTATATACCTAGTCTCAGAAAATATTATTTTTGGTAAACGATATGAACCGTTGTTTTGAAGCGTTACTTTGACCTGAGACAACTAAAACAATATACGATAATAATGTGTTATAGTAGTCTTAGCTTTACTACAATGTAATACTTGAATTTTTATTTGTCTTTGTATATTATTAACATTTACTGTTTATAATTAGTGTTTGCGCAGAAAGTTGATGAACCAGGGTTATATCAAACAAGAGTGCACACGCTGAAAGTCTCGCCTTCTTTGCTGACCATTGATTATATGTTGATAGTCCTAAATATAAAGCTTTACTACAACTATCACATTAACTTAACATGATCTAAGAAAATGAGGTTAAGGTCAGATAAACCAAACTGGAAATACATGTACACCTTACAATCATTCCATACACCAAATATGCTTTAATTATAGTTGACCTATTGCACATAGTATCTAAGAAACAAACTTAACCAGGAAATTTAACATTGATCAATGAACCATGCAAATGAGGTCAAGGTCAGATGAACCTTGCCAAACAGACATGTACACCTTACAATCATTACACGCTTTAAATATAGTTGACCTATTGCATATAGTATCTGAGAAACAAACTTAACCAGGAAAACTTAAGATTGACCAATGAACCATGGAAATGAGGTCATCGTCAGATGATAATTGCCAGACAGACATGTACACCTTACACTCATTCCATACACCAAATATAGTTGACCTATCGCTTATAATATTTGAAAAACAGATGAAAAAACAAAAACTTAACATTGAGCAATGAACCATAAAAATGAGGTCAAGGTCAAATAAAACATTCCAGACAGACATATACACCTTACAATCATTACATACACCAAATATAGTTGACCTATTGCATACAGTATTAGAAACACAGACCAAAACACAAAAACTTAACTTAGGTCAAGGTCATATGACACCTGCCAGTTGGACATGTACACCTTTCAATCATTCCATACACCAAATATAGTAGACCTATTGCTTATAGTATCTGAGATATGTACTTGACCACGAAAACTTAACCTTGTTCACTGATCCATGAAATGAGGTCGAGGTCAAGTGAAAACTGTCTGACGGGCATGAGGACCGTACAAGCTACGCACATACTAAATATAGTTATCCTATTTTTCACAATAAGAGAGAAATTAACATTACAAAAAATCTTAACTTTTTTTTCAGGTAGTAACTGAACCATGAAAATGAGGTCAAGGACAATAGACATATGACAGACGGAAACTTCATAACATAAGGCATCTATATACAAAGTATGAAGGATCCAGGTCCTCTACCTTCCAAAATATTAAGCTTTTAAGAAGTTAGTTAACGCCGCCGCCGCCGCCGCCGCCGGATCACTATCCCTATGTCGAGCTTTCTGCGACAGAAGTCGCAGACTCGACAAAAAACGTCATCCTTTTTCTTACAAAAAGTTCATCGGAAGATACCAGGATCTTGTTGATAAATATTCCGTATCAACTTCACAAATAATACATGTATGATAGTCTTGGAATATAGATTCTAGGTACTGACGTTAATGTTCATCTTAATTACGTGTTATAGTGTTCTATTTATTGGCTTTGTGTATTTTTAAACCTTTACTGTTTAGTCCATTTATGGTAATATCCTTTTTGGCGTGGCTCGGTATTGGTACATCCCACTTTTGTATTATTGTGCTATGGTCATTTTTTGTTTTCTTGTCTTTCTTTTTTGCTTATGTCTTTTGTCTATAGAGTGTCTATATGCCATTTGTTTTTCTTTGTTGACATAGTTGTTTGTTTTTATAGTGATTAAGATTATAACACAATGTTGACTGCTGTACCCCAATTTTTGACATATCTACCTATTGAGTCTGTTTGCTTTGCTCACACATTGTTGTCAATATAATGGAATTCTATGCGACAATCATACAAGTGAGAGATTTAGCTAGCTTTAAAACCAGGTTTAATCTGGGACTATTGTCAATATCATATGTTCCAGGATTAATCCACCATTTTCTACATAAGGAAATGCCTGTACCAAATCAGGAATATGGCAGTTGTTTTCCATTCGTTTGATGTGTTTTAGCTTTTGATTTTGCCATTTGATAAGGAACTTTCCGTTTTGAATTTTCTTTGGAGTTCGGTTTTTTGTTATTTTATTTTTGATATGTCTCTGGTTATATATAGTAACTTACTATTCAAATCCTTGATGTAATATAAAGTAATCTTTATTTAAAGTCGAGTTTCAAATATACAGTTAACATAGAAATTGGGCTCTTTAGTCGACTGATAAATAATAATATTAAATGATCAACCATTGAATAGCAAAATATACATACAGTATAGGACTGCTGGGAATCATTTTGTAAGACCAGTTACGTTTCGTATCATAACTTCAATACCGGTTTATTGCGAAAGAAATGAAACTTTTCCACAGAATCATTTCCTCTTGGTCAAGGTATTTAAACTTTTGTCAGTTCTCTTGTCCCATTGAATGAATACACTCAGCTATAGTTCTATGTGTAGTTTATTACTGAGACCCTTAAATGTCTTCTAAGAGAAGTCCATCACTCATTGATTAATTTCGTTTAAGAAAAAAAATATCTTCAACTCACAAAAAACTGCCGTGTCTTTTTCAGGTACTTGTCGACTGGTTTGTCCTTAATCCCCCTTTTTTGGCCAATTTCTGATCATTTCTTCTTTTTCACATTGTACCTTAATTTTCCCTTGAATAATTTTGGCTGAAACATATGTATTTATTTCACATTTATCATCTGCTAAAAAGATATTAAAAAGTGGCAGGGGAAATAATTTCATCAAGTCTTAGTAAAGACTTTATGAATAGAACAATATTCGAAAGGAAATTGACCTACCCCTATATCTACCAAAACGAAATAACAACTTTCTAACAACACAGCACAAAAGGGAAGAATAAATATTTTTTTTATAGTCGCAGTGAAAGTATTTGCTGTAATACAAATATTTTCAATCAAATTTCTTCCAAACACAGTAAGAGGGTCGTCACAGTATGAGATGGACTCTTGATGAATATAACATCTGGTAAAAAAACAGTGTTGGAAAGCTTATTCAATCGAATTTCAGGAAGAGACAATGTCAGTGGGTCAAATCAAATTTCATTTTAAATGGATCGTTTTCATTTGACTTGATTATGGTTCAAACAAAATTACACTTATATAGTTTCTTCAATTATAAATTTACAAGTGTAAAAACGCAAAAACAGTATTAGTTTCTCTAAGGACGCCAAAAGGAATATAATACCATGAAAAATTCCACATCGCTGATATATTTCCTGACCAATACAAAAGACAAATAATTAACAAGCGTACAATATCTCAAGGAGAAGAACTTCCATCACAGACGAAACCTTTCAAATTTAACGAACTCTATCATTATCAATTAAACAAAACCATAGTAGTTCACCATGCCCCGATATCTAGATGTTGTTATCTTGCCAATTATCGAACAACACAAAAAGTCCTTGTGATTGGTTAAAAAAATCTAAAAAATATCGCGAAGATGCCCTAAAAATTAACTTTTATATCAAACTCAGTTACAGTCACTTAGCCAAAATCAAATCTGTCGCCAAGAAGTAAATTTTATTTAAAGCGCCTTTCTCTAACGAAAACATTGAACCGCACTGTAATGGAAAAACGTCAATTAAATGTCTCGGAAAACTGCGACAAGAACAACGTGTTTTCTTTACCGTCTGCTGTAAACACATTAGACCTACGCCGATACAGCATTAATGGTATTCTTAGCACAGAGACAGAAGGTAACCTTACAGATGGTCAGACATTGAATGACTCGGATGGTAACACTGCTAGCTTTGTAGACAGATTTATCGGTAAGTCATCATTTTCTTGTGACTCTAAAGGTTGCGATATTTTTTGTTGCAGAATTTGTCACACGGCTGTT